GGGAGGGAGGAAGGGAGGGAGGGAAGGAAGGGGAAAGGAAAAGAAAAGAAAAGATCTAGGTTAATTCTATCATTTTACAGAGGAGGTAACTGAAGTCTGGCAGTAAAAATAAATAAATTTCTCAAATGTCATACTGGTAATTAATGGCAAGGATGGGAGCCCTCAGAAGGCTGGTAGGCAATGCAGTGAGTCGGTCCACTCTGAACTCTAGCATTGAGCAGCTTAGGCTCAAGCCCCACCTCTACCACCTGCTGGCCAGGCTATATTAAGGGACTCCTGTCATTCAGTTTCCTCATCTGCAAAATAGAAATAATACTATGGTATCTACCATGTATACAATGAGAGAATACATGAGAACAATCATTAAGAATAAAATGAGATAATGCAAATTAACCTGGGATATAATAAGAGCTTGGTAACTGCTAATGATTAGAACTCATGTGTCTTAATTTCTGCATTAGTATTCTTTCTACCACCACGAAGATGAAAGGAGTAAAATGAGATTTTGTTTATTTCTGTTTCTCTGACGCAGAAAGAAATCTCTGTTTTTAGATCTCTATGCTCATATGGTATCCTCATTCTCCCTCATATCTTTTCTTTCAGGGCCAAGGAGATTAAGATCAAGTTGGGAATTCTCCTCCAGAAGCCAGACTCGGCTGTTGACCTTGTCATTCCATATAATGAGAAGCCAGAGAAACCAGCCAAGGCCCAGAAGTGAGTCATGAATATGGATTCCACTGATTTTCCTCCAGAGGATGGCTATTTTTCAAGTGTTTAGCTGTAGAACTACCCCTTTCAATTACTCATTTAAGGATCATAAGAGCCCTCAGAGGGTTGATTTGTAAATAAACTTTTTTTTCCTCATGTCTAAGGCATAATATTGAATACTGGTAGAATACTTAAAAAATAGAAGATAAGGGGCAGCACCTGTTGCTCAAGGAGTAGGGCGCCAGCCCCATATACTGGAGGTAGTGGGTTCAAACCTGGCCCTGGCCAAAAACTGAAAAAAAAAAAAAAGATAGGACCTTATCCTTGAAGCGATGGACCATATCTATCAAATGACACTAGTTACTATCTTCTTAGATAGTGACCACCATGTTAGTGTGGTAAAAACACCTGTTCATATATACCGCCTGGGGTCAGGTGACCATCCTGATCCAATTAATTGTGAGGACTGGACACTCACCTGGGCAGGAGCCATCTTGGCTGCTTCCTGGACAGGGAGATACCAATTGGAACATCTCCCCAGGAAGTTTCTAAGGACCAGGCAGACAATTTAAGACTAATAGTGTCTTCTTCAAGGTGGTGTCCCATCAAGGTCTAGCAGAGGAACAGAAGACTTCAGTGAGGAATAAATACTTGATCAGCTATTTCTATTTAATGCACACCAAGTATTTTTCCCCAATTCATAAATTAATATTCCTGTTGGATTTCTGCAGTGCTCCCTCCCTCACCCCATCCCCCTTTCCCTACCTGCCTCTCACCTTCTCTTCAGGTTAGGCACCCAGGGGAACTGTAATTATAAAGAGTTGAGATGTTAAGGCAGGCATGGAATCCGGCTTTCACAGAGAGCATTGACTGTACTTTAACGTCCTAACACCCCTCAGGGCATTCCTATTGCTCATCCTCCTTTCACTGCCTACTCAGGTAGACTCTGCCTTCCCTCTAAAACAGAGATACCCATACAGTCAAGAATGGAAAGGAAGAAGAAGAAAAGACAAATGTATTCAAACTCCTTCACTCTGTTCCCTAAAAAGCCTTGAGGCTATCACAGAAGTGCAGTAAAAATATGGAACGCTTTTAGCTTCCATTGATCTTTTTAAATTTAATATGTGTATAAATTGACCAACTTGTCCTTTGTCCAAATGACCTTCAACTTGATATAGCTGGATTGGTTGGGAAATAACAAGATGATTTATTTTATTTTAGAAATCTTTTTCCATTTAAATGGATATTTCCACTCTCCTTTTTTTTTTTTTTTT